TTGTTTTGGGATGGACTGGTGGGGGTAATTTTTAGTCAGCGGCCGCGGGCGAGCGCGCCGGCGGCGAGTCCAGTCAAAGCGGGGCACGCAACGACGAATTACACTAAAGCAGCGGAAGGTGGCCAGAAAGGCTGGTGGGGATATTTTTTTGGTCGGCGGCTCCGAGGCAAAGGTCAGGGAGCGGAAGCGGCGTCCGGGATGCGGCACGATGCGCATTTGCGAACCAAGCCGCCACGTTGACTGGTGGGGATACGCGAAGCGTGAACAATTAGACCTCGCCGTCCCTGGGGGGCTGCGATCTGCGAAACCGTCGCCACTTTCGAGCACTGCTGGGGGGTCCAGCGGAGTGAGGTCCCACGCGGGTTCAACTTAGACCTCGCCATCGCTGGGGACTGCGATCTGGGAAGCTGTCACCACTTTCGAGGGCTGCTGGGTGGTCCAGCGGAGTGGTGCACCACGCGAACTCAAATTAGACCTCGCCGCCCATGGAGGGCTGCGATCTGCGAAACTGTCGTTACTTTTGAAGGCGGCTGGGGGGTCCAGCGGAGTGGTGTCCCACACGGGTTCAACTTAGACCGCGCCATCCTTGGTGGGTTGCGAAATGCGAAGCTGTCGCCACGTTCGGGGGTTGCTGGGGGTCCAGCGGGGTGGTGTCCCACGCGGGTTCACCCTAAACCTCGCCATCCCTGGGGGGCTGCGATCTGCGAAACTGACGCCACTTTCGAGGGTTGGGAGGTCCAGCGGGGTGAGGCCCCACGCGGGCCAAAATTAGACATTGCCGTCCTTGGGGGCTGCGATCTGCAAACTTGCCGCCACTTTCGAAGGGCGTTGGGGGGTCCAGCGGAGCGGTGTCCTACGCGAAGTCCAACTCTACCTCGCCACCCCTGTGGGGCTGCAGTTTGCGAAACTGTCGCCGCATTCGAGAGCTGCTGGGGGGCCCACCGGAATGACATCCGACACGGGTTCCAACTAGACCTCGCCATCCTTGGGGCTACGATCCGCGGAACTGTCGCCACTTTCGAATGGTGCTGGGGGGTTCCAGCGGGGCGACGTCGTACGCGGACTCAACTTCGACCTCGCCATCTTTGGGGCTGCGGTATGCGAAACCGCTGCCACATTCGAGGGCTGCTGGGGGGGTCCAGCAGAGCGACGTCGTACGCGGATTCAAGGTCCACCTCGCCATCCCTGGGGGGGTCTGCGATCTGCGAAACGGTCTCCACTTTCGAAGGGTGTTGGGGGGGGTCCAGCGGGGCGACGTCCTGCGCGGACTCAAATCAAACCTCGCCGTCCCCGGGGGGGCTGCGATCTGCGAAGTTGCCGCCACTTTCGGGCACTGCTGGGGGGTCCAGCGGAGCGACGTTCTACGCGGACTCAAATTAGACCTCGCCGCCCGTGGGGGGATGCGATCTGCGAAGCTGCCGCCACTTTTCAAGGGTGCTGGGGGGTCCAGCGGAGCGGTGCCCCACGCGGATTCAACCTAGACCTCGCCATCCCTGGGGGGCTGCGATCTGCGAAATTGTCGCCACTTTCGAGGGCTGCTGGGGGGTCCAGCGGAGTGGGCCACCCAGCCTCAGACTCGACCTCGCCATCCCCGGGAGGGCTGCTATTTGCGAAACCGTCGCAACTTTCGAGGGCTACTGGGGGTTCAGCGGGCTGAAGCACCACCCAGATTCAGATTTGACCTCGCAATCCTCGGGAGGGCTGCGATCTGCGAGCCTGTCGCCACTTTCAAAGGCTGCTGGGGGTCCCGCGGGGCGCTGTCGTGGGCCGCCCGCGGACCTGGCGACGGTCCTTCGAATGTTTAACTCCCGCACTCGAAGCTACAGGAAGGGAGCAGGGAATCTGGAGGGCGAGCTAGGCCTCGCTCGCTTCTTGCACGAACAATGAGCAGACTTAGTCATTGTGTTGGGCGCCGCGGCGTCATGGCGCAGGCATCGCTGCATTTTTCGCGCACTACCGACAAAAGCAACACTCTTCGGTCTCTTCCCGTCACTTTCGTTGTCGTCCTCTGCCCATTGCCACCTTCCCTCTGCTGCTGTCGCGCTGACGGTTCGGCCCCCCGCGCGTCCTTTTCCTGCCCTTTGTTCCTGGATGCATGTCCTTCTCAAGCCTGGGCCCTCGCTCCTCGTCCTTCTGCTGTTGTCCTGTGAACCGTGCCACGTGAGCGCAACCTATGTAGCTTGCGCATCATATAACGGCGCCTGCACTGTCACTGTCCTGGCGAGGTTGGGCCAATTCCTCTTGCCACTTGATGCAAATGGGTTGGGCACGTCGCAGGTTTTTTTTGTGCGCGGGCTCATTGACGGATTGGGACCGAAAACAATTTTAGGAAACAAATTCGCCTCCCGCAGCGGCCACTGCTGAGGTGCCTACGGATTCCGAGGGATCCTAAGGATCCCCCTTAGGCTTCGTTAGTATTCGTAAGATTCCTAAGGATTCTTACGCATTCCTGAGGCATCTCAGAATTCCCTTAGGACTCTCTTCCTAAGGTTGGACCCGGAAACCCAAATCGAGGAAGAGCGCCTGTGGAACGAAAACAACTCGGCGGCGAGCTGGGCTGTCCAAGCTCACGCCGAGACCGTCCAAGAGCGGTGGCAGGCCTCCGAGCTCGGGCAACAAGCTCGAGCCTTCTGCGTCTCCCCGATGCCTCAGGTGAGCGAGCCTGTGCACACTGCCGGCGACGCGCTGCAGGGGAGCGGGGCGCCTGGGGCGGCGCTCTGAGAGAAGGACGGCCCGAAGGGGTCTGCGCCACGAGGACCGATACGGTGAGGGCGTTCAGCGAGGAATCCTTGGACAAGGGATCCAGGGTCTGGAAGCCACGTGGAGCACCAACTGAGGACTGGCCATGGATACCACCGCCGCCCTCATCAGACAGCCTGGGCACATTCCTTATCGAGCGCCCCCACCGTACACAGACGCCCGCCGACGAATTTCCCCTGCGATCTCGCAAAAAAGAAAAAGCGACATAGGCAGAAGTACTCAGAGGTCCGCATGGGTTTTCTTGGATCAGCGCTGGTTCCCCCTGGCGGCGCCGCTCGCGCCGCCCCTGGAGCCCTCCGCACGCCAGGGAGGGGGATCCAGCGCCGATCCAAGAAAATCTGCGCGGACCTGCAGAATTATCCTGGCGAAGGACCCAACCGAATGCAGTTGTGGGTACCCCAATTGTGAATATCTTCTTCGGTGAAGCTCCCTATGGGACCACGAAGCACTGCACCGGCTGGGGGGGGACGCATGCGGGCGGTAGCATTGCGGCCGTCGGTGGAGTTCCCATATGGGGCCACGCAACGCTGTACTGGGTGGGTGAAAATGCCAAAGTAGGTTTTGGGACGCATGCGGACGGTCCCACTGGGGGCTTCGGTGGAGCTCCCTATGGGGCCACGAAGCGCTGTACTGGGTGAGTGGAGACATGCCAAATTTGATGTGTGGGACGCCTGCGGGCGGTCCCACTGGGGGCTTCGGTGGAGCTCCCTCTGGTGCTACGAAACGCTGTACTGGGTGGGCGAAAATGCCAAATTAGGTTTTCGGGACGCGTGCGGACGGTGACACTGGGGCCTTCGGTGGAGCTCCCTACGGGGCCACGAAGCGCTGCACTGGGTAAATGAAAATGCCAAATTGGGTGTGCGGGACGCATGCGGGCGGTCCCACTGGGGGCTTCGGTGGAACTCCTTGTGGGGCCACGAAACGTTGTACTGGGTAATTGGAAATGCCAGATTGGGTGTGCGGGACGCCTGCGGGCGGTCCCACTGGGGGCTTCGGGCCACGAAACGCTGTACTGGGTGGCCGAAAATGCCAAATTAGGTTTTCGGGACGCATGCGGACGGTCCCGCTGGGGGCTTCGGTGGAGCTCCCTATGGGGCCACGAAGCGCTGGACTGGGTGGGTGAAACGCAGGGAGGAGGGAGGAGGGGCCACGACACGCTGTACTGGGTGTGCGGGACGCATGCGGGCGGTCCCTCTGGGAGCTTCGGTGGGGCTCCTTATGGGGCCACGAAACGCTGTACTGGGTGGGTGAAACGCAGGGAGGAGGGAGGAGGGGGAGGAGGGGGAGGGAGGGAGGGTGAGGAGGAGGGCGAGGAGGAAGAGAGGAACGCGGGGCACCGTCTCTTCGAAACGAGGACCCGACACAGGATGGTTGGGAACATATGTGTTTGTGCCGCTTCTGTTTCGTTGTCTTCTTCTTCTCCTCTTATTATTATTAGTATTAGTATTAGTATTAGTAGTAGTATCAGTATCAGTATCCGTCTTCTTCTTCTTCTTCTTATTACTATTATTATTATTATTATTATACTTCTTCTTCGACTTCCGGGAGCGCGGCGGTGTCAAATTCCTGGTTTTCAATGGTGATCTGTACACCGCTACCCTCGCCTGAGGCCGAGGAGCAATCCGCCCTGAGGGTGGGGTGTTCGCGTGTGTGCTCGTGCTCTGGCGGGAGAGCGGCTCCTTCCCAGAGGCTTCCAGAGAGAGCTTTCAGGGGGGCTTCCAGACGCTTCCAGAGAGAGCTTCCCAGAGGCTTCCAGGGAGAGCTTGCCAGAGGCTTCCAGAGAGAGCTTCCCAGAGGCTTCCAGAGAGAGCTTCCCAGAGGCTTTTAGAGAGAGAGAGAGAGAGAGCTTACAGGGGAGGGGGGCTTCTGAGGCGGGTGGCCAGCGCCGCCGAATGGCCAGCGGCTGTGCTGGAACGGATGCCAGTGCAGCTATCGGGGCGTGGGAAAGAGAGAGAAAGAGAGACGAGATTACTCCGAGACTTTCCGGCTGGGACCTCGACCGATCCAAGGAGTCTAGCCACAGCAGATCCAAGGATTCTAGCCACATGGAAAACAGCTACTGGCGTGTCGAGAAGCCCTCGAAGTGAGTCAAAACACTGCGCTGGAGCAGGAGTAAGATCAATCACTCGAATGCCGACTGTCGCTTTGACTACTTCTGGAAGCGTCGCAATGGTACTGCGATGTTCTATCGTGAAACACACCTGTCACCTGCTCGAGGTGCCAGACATGACATTGACGAGCTAGCAAGTGCTCGAGACTGACCATTGATGTGAGCAGAGCGCTGAACATGTGCCATGAAAGCGAGAAGACAGCACCGCTGCGATCGCAGGCCGAAACAAATTCAAATAGCTGACAAAATCCTCACGCTGCCCAGTGTCGTCCCAGCTCAGGTGCTTATGACCTGAAATCTGGAACCTTCCCCAACATTTCCGCGGAAACGGGCCCTCGTTACTCTTCACTGCGCTGCGCATCTCCCGCTCTCCCCCTCTTCCTCCTCCTCCTCCTCCCCTTCCCCTTCTTCCTCCTCCTCCTCCTCCTCCTCCTCCTTCTCCTTCTGCTCCTCTTCCTCCTCCTCCCCCTCCCCGCCGCCACGCTCCCGCCGCACGCTGCCGTCGCGCGCCTCTGACTGCGGCATGCTGCTGCGGGTCGGGCCGCTCCGGCTGCAGCCGCCGCCCGCCCCCACGCTGCTGCCTGCTGCCGTCGACGCCGCCTCCCCGCCACCGTCCGGCAAGCCCCTCTCTTTCGCTTGATGCCCCATGGGACGCACAAGGACATACTAGTACTATACGTCCTCCTTGGAAGCGCGCGTCCGACCCGAACACACAGTACAACCATCTTGTAGTGCATCGTTTCCCGAGCGGTGTGGCCAGAAAGCGCCCGCCACGATGCATATACTATAAGATTCCTCGGTGCGCGCGTCGCCCCTGCGGGGCGACGCACACATAGTATCAGTACGTTGGGGTGACGCCGACCCCAGACGGGGGTCCCACCTGCGGCTCCAGGTGGGTAGAAGTGGTGGGTGGCAACTGCACGGGTACCTTGAGGTGGAGATGCGGGTCCCCCCCCTGCTACGGCCGCCTTCGATGGCCGAGGGACCGTTGGGGAGTCCTCGGCCCCCTCCAGTGCCAATTGACGGCAGAATTGAAGGTTGACTGGTGGGGGCGGCCCGGTGCACTCGCACCTCCCCGTTCGGCGCACCTCATGGCACGCTCCGTGCCCCACAGGGGAGCCCCAGCTAGTGGCTTCGGTGGGGGTGGGCGCACGCGCCCGTCCTTCACACACTTCGTGCATCACAGGGCGCCCCGTCCACGTGCCCCAATGGGAGTACAGCCAAGACGCCGAAAGAAGGACCGCTTTGGGCTAAGGAGGGGCTTGGGTTTTCGGGACGTTCTCTAGACTCTAAACTTACGTTGTGGATCATGTTTGTGGCATAGTCCCGACGTGGCCAGACAAGCCCTTTCGTTCCTTCCTATGCGTTCTTTCTGGTAGCACCATGGCTGTAGGCGCATGCGCACGCCCCCCGTCCCATTCGGCACGCCCCCTGTGCATGCGTCAATTCGGCGCGCGGCGTACCCCTAACGCACTGCGTGTCCTCCTGGGCAGCCCAACTACGGCTTCAGCGGGGGGGGGTGCGCATGCGGCCCAACTGCCCAATTCGGCGGCACACACCCTGACGCGTTTCGCGCACCGTAGAAAGTCACAGCTACCGCGCCACCCCATCCCCCCGCACTCCCGCGGCGCGCACCGTGTGAGAGCCCCTCACGCTACACTACAACTGCCAAGAGCTGGGCCCCTCGCTGTGCTAATTTTCTTCTGGTCATCCCACTCCAACGCCCAACAATGCAGGCGCAAGAAAAGAGTCATCGCCGCCCGGGACTTGACCGCCACCAGGGCCTGGTCACTGCTGGTGCACCAGGCGATCTCGACCTGAACCATCGCCGCCGGGCCCCGTCACTGCAGAGTGCGCCAGGCGATCAGAACGCCACGCTTGCCGTCTGCGAGTGCATGCGATGATTCGTGGCCTGGGAGGCGAGGAGAGGTTGCGACGTGAGCAGATATCCGCAGAGGCCGCCACAGCGACCAAGGATGTCCCACGCGGGAACCCACAGAAGGGAGGAAAGTAACCAGCCTCGAATGCATCCCTATCCGAAAGATTGTCAAGCCAATTGCCCCAACGTCGACCCCAAGCACAACTGGCCCACAGAGACGGCAAAGGCTTCCCCCCGCTCCTCCGGAATAGGACAATTTTTGAGGTGCCGAAATGAATTTTCGGACTCCTCATCGGGGAGTCGGAGAGTCGGCCAAACGGGGAATCGGGGAGTCGGGGAGTCGGCCAGTCGGGCAGTCGGACAGTCGGCCAGTCGGCCAGTCGGCCAGTCGGGGAGTCGGCCAGTCGGCCAGCCGGCCAGTCGGGCAGTCGGGCAGTCGGACTGTCGGGCAGTCGGGCGGTCGGGCAGTCGGGCAATCGGGCAGTCGGGTTGTCAGCCAGTCGGGGAGTCGGCCAGTCGGCCAGTCGGCCAGTCGGGGAGTCGGCCATTCGGCCAGTCGGCCAGTTGGGGAGTCGGCCAGTCGGGCAATCGGGCAGTCGGCCAGTCGGCCAATTGGGGAGTCGGCCAGTCAGCCAGTCGGCCAGTCGGCCAGTCGTCCAATCGGACAGTCGGCCAACCGGCCAGTCGGCCAGTCGGCCAGTCGGCCAATCGGCCAATCGGCCAGTCGGCCAGTCGGCCAGTCGACCAGTCGGCCAGTCGGCCAGTCGGCCAGTCGGCCAGTCGGCCAGTCGGCCAGTCGGGGAGTCGGCCAGTCGGCCAGTCGCGAAGTCGAGGAGTCGGCCAGTCGGCCAATCGGCTAATCGGCCAGTCGGCCAATTGGCCAGTCGGGGAGTCGGCCAATCGACCAGTCGGCCAGTCGGCTAGTCGGCCAGTCGGGGAGTCGGGCAGTCGGCCAGTCGGGCAGTCGGGCAGTCGGGCAGTCGGGCAATCGGCCAGTCGGGCAGTTGGGGAGTCGGGAAGACGGCCAGTCGGCCAGTTGGCCAATCGGCCAGTCGGGAAGTCGGCCAGTAGGCCAGTCGGCCAGTCGTCCAATCGGACAGTCGGCCAGTCGGCCAGTCGGGGAGTCGGGCAGTCGGGCAATCGGGCAGTCGGGCAATCGGCCAGTTGGGGAATCGGGGAGCCGGCCAGTCGGCCAGTCGGCAACGAGGGCAATCGGCCAATCGGCCAGTCGGCCAATCGGCCAGTCGTCCAGTCGGCCAGTCGGGGAGTCGACCAGTCAGCCAGTCGGCTAGTCGGGGAGTCGGCCAGTCGGCCAGTCGGCCAATCGGCCAGTCGGCCAGTCGGTCAGTCGGCCAGTCGGCCAGTCGGCCAGTCGGCCAGTCGGGGAGTCGGGGAGTCGGGGAGTCGGGGAGTCGGCGAGTCGGCGAGTCGGCTAGTCGGGGAGTCGGCCAGTCGGCTAGTTGGGGAGTCGGCCAGTCGGCCAGTCGGCCAGTCGGTGAGTCGGCCAGTCAGCCAGTCGGCCAGACGGCCAGTCGGCCAGTCGGCCAATCAGCCAGTCGGCCAGTCGGGGAGTCGGCCAGTCGGCCAGTCGGCCAGTCGGGGACTTGGGGAGTCGGCCAATCGGCCAGTCGGCCAGTCGGGGAGTCGGCCAGACGGCCAGTCGGCCAATCGGCCAGTCGGCTAGTCCGCCAGTCGGCCAGTCGGCCAGTCGGCCAATCGGGGAGTCGGCCAGTCGGCCAGTCGGCCAGTCGGGGAGTCGGCCAGTCGGCCAGTCGGCCACTTGGCCAGTCGACAATCGGCCAGTCGGCCAGTCGGCTAGTTGGGGAGTCGGCCAGTCGGCCAGTCGGCCAGTCGGGGAGTCGGGCAGTCGGCCAGTCGGCCAGTCGGGGAGTCGGGCAGTCGGCCAATCGGGGAGTCGGCCAGTCGGGGAGTCGGCCAGTCGTCCAGACGGACAGTCGGCCAATCGGCCAGTCGGCCAGTCGGCCAGTCGGCCAATCGGCCAGTCGGCTAGTCCGCCAGTCGGGGAGTCGGCCAGTCGGCCAGTCGGCCAGTCGGCCAGTCGGCCAATCAGGCAATCGGGCAATCGGTGAGCTGGCCAGTCGGCCAGTCGGCCAGTCGGCCAGTCGGCTAGTCGGGCAGTCGGGCAGTCGGGGAGTCGGGGAGTCGGGGAGTCGGGGAGTCGGGGAGTCGGCCAGTCGGCCAATCGGGAAATCGGGCAGTCGGCCAGTCGGGGAGTTGGGAAGACGGCCAGTCGGCCAGTCGGCCCAGTCGGGGAGCCGGGGAATCGGCCAGTCGGCCAGCTCGAGTCGGGGAGTCGGCCAGTCGGCCAGCCGGGGAGCCGGGGAATCGGCCAGTCGGTGAGTCGGCCAATCGGCCAGTCGGCCAATCGGCTAGTCGGCCAGTCGGCCAGTCGGCCGGTCGGCCAGTCGGGGAGTCGAGGAGTCGGGGAGTCGGGGAATCGGCCAGTCGGCCAGTCGGGGAGTCGGCCAGTCGGCCAGTTGGGGAGTCGGCCAGTCGGCCAGTCGGCCAATCGGGGAGTCGGCCAGTCAGCCAGTCGGCCAGTCGGCCAGTCGGCCAATCGGCCAGTCGGGCAGTCGGGCAGTCGGGCAGTCGGGGAATTGGGGAGTCGGCCAGTCGGCCAGTCGGCCAGTCGGCTAGTCGGGCAGTCGTGCAGTCGGCCAGTCGGCCAGTCGGCCAGTCGGCCAGTCGGGGAGTCGGGGAGTCGGCCAATCGGGGAGTCGGCCAGTCGGCCAGTCGGCCAGTCGGGAAGACAGCCAGTCGGCCAGTCGGCCAGTCGGCCAGTCGGGGAGTCGGCCAGTCGGCCAGCCGGGGAGCCGGGGAGTCGGCCAGCCGGGGAGTCGGCCAATCGGCCAGTCGGCCAGTCGGCCAGTCGGCCAATCGGCTAGTCGGCCAGTCGGCCAGTCGGCCAGTCGGCCAGTCGGGGAGTCGGGGAGTCGTGGAGTCGGCCAGTCGGCCAGTCGGGGAATCGGCCAGTCGGCCAGTCGGCCAGTCGGCCAGTCGGCCAATCGGCCAGTCGGCCAGTCGGCCAATCGGCCAATCGGCCAGTCGGCCAGTCGGCCAGTCGGCCAGTCGGCCAGTCGGCCAGTCGGCCAGTCGGCTAGTCGGCCAGTCGGGGAGTCGGCCAGTCGGCCAGTCGGCCAGTCGGGGAGTCGGCCAATCGGCCAGTCCGCCAGTCGGGGAGTCGGGGAGTCGGGGAGTCGGCGAGTCGGCGAGTCGGCCAGTCGGGGAGTCGGCCAGTCGGCTAGTTGGGGAGTCGGCCAGTCGGCCAGTCGGCCAGTCGGTGAGTCGGCCAGTCAGCCAGTCGGCCAGACGGCCAGTCGGCCAGTCGGCCAATCAGCCAGTCGGCCAGTCGGCCAGTCGGCCAATCGGCCAGTCGGCCAGTCGGCCAGTCGGCCAATCGGGGAGTCGGCCAGTCAGCCAGTCGGCCAGTCGGCCAATCGTCCAATCGGACAGTCGGCCAATCGGCCAATCGGCCAGTCGGCCAGTCGGCCAGTCGGCTAGTCGGCCAGTCGGCCAGTCGGCCAGTCGGCCAATCGGCCAGTCGGCCAGTCGGCCAATCGGCCAGTCGGCCAGTCGGCCAGTCGGCCAGTTGGGGAGTCGGCCAGTCGGCCAGTCGGCCAGTCGGGGAGTCGGCCAGTCAGCCAGTCGGCCAGTCGGCCAGTCGGGCAGTCGGGCAGTCGGGCAGTCGGGCAGTCGGGCAGTCGGGCAGTCGGCCAGTCGGGGAATTGGGCAGTCGGCCAGTCGGCCAGTCGGCCAGTCGGCTAGTCGGCCAGCCGGGGAGCCGGCCAGTCGGCCAGTCGGCCAGTCGGGGAGTCGGCCAGTCGGCCAGTCGGCCAGTCGGGGAGTCGGCCAGTCAGCCAGCCGGCCAGTCGGGCAGTCGGGCAGTCGGGCAGTCGGGCAGTCGGGCAGTCGGGCAGTCGGCCAGTCGGCCAGTCGGGGAGTTCATTCCGGCACCGTGAAATTTTTCCACATGCTCCAGAGGGGCACCATCCTCGTGAGAGTCGCCACTTTCTGAGGGGCCAGGGCGCCCCATGCAGCATCCTCGTGAGGGTCGCCACTTTCTGGGGGGCCAGGGCGCTTCAGCCCCTTCAGAGAGGCACCATCCTCGTGAGGGTTGCTACGTTCCGGGGGCCAGGGCGCCCGATCCAAAATTTGCCCAAAGAGCCGGCCGAGGGTTTCAGCCCCTCCAGAGGGGCACCATCCTCGTGAGAGTCGCCACTTTCCGAGGGCGGGAACGCCCGAGGCACAACTGGCCCACAACGACAACAAGTTGAATAACAGCTACAACAAAACAGCACAACAAACAAACACCACAACAACAACACCAACAACAACAACAACAACCACAGCAATAACAACAACAACAACAACAACAACAACAACAACAACAACAACAACAACAACAACAACAACAACAACAACAACAACAACAACAACAACAACAACAACAACAACAACAATAACAACAACAACAACAACAACAACAACAACAACAGCATCAACAGCAACAGCAAAAGCAACAGCAACAGCAGCAACAACAACAACGACGACAACAACAACAATCAATTTAAGACTGTCCGCTCTCACTGACACGCGTGTCTTGCATTCTGTATATCCCAACCCTCGATACCCGCCCACTTCGTCTTCGATCGCACCCTCTTTCGGGAGGAATATCATCCTTGTCGGCTACTGACTGAATTGCGAGGAATTCTCGAGCGAGAGCGCCGTTCCTGGCTTCGAGGGCCTCTCTGGCCAGGGGCTCTCGGAAGACATATACAGAAATATCGAACGGGGACCCTTGTCGCCGTGTCTGGGCCTCCACCAACTTGCCTGAATAACGAGAAATTCTCGAGCGAGAGCGCCACTCTTGAGTTCGGGGGCCTCTCTGGCCAAGGCCTCTGGAAATACACTTTGAGGAAATCCGCCGATCCGGCGTGCGAGTTTCTGAGAGCGTGGGCTTGAGCTTGCTCAAGCTTCGCTCTGCGAGGGGGGCGGGCCCTATTGAACTGATGGGTTATGTGCTCGGCACTTGCCATCCCCTGCTAACCCCCTCCCCTCCGGTTCCAGGGGGGGGGGCGGGGGGGGAGGAGAGGAGAGAGGGGGGGGGAGAGGGAGAGAGGGCAGGGGAGAAGAGGAGAGGGGGGGGGGGGGGGCAAGCTATGTGCGCTCGCGTCATATCTGACGTCCTACCCCTCCCTCCCATCCCTTACCATGGCGCTGATTTTCTCTATCCGCGGACGCGTGTCGTAGCGGACCTGTGGCTCCGCGCGCGCGAGCGTAGTGGGTAGTGGTGGTGTGTGTGGTGTGACGTGGTGTGGCGTCTTGGTGGTTTGGTGGTGGGCCAGGTGCGTGCGTGCGTGATGGCGGTGGTGGTGGTGGTGGTGGTGGTGGTGGTGGTGGTGGTGGTGGTGGTGTGTGTGTGTCTGTGTGTCTGTGTGTCTGTGTGTGTGTGTGCGTGCGTGTGTGTCTGTGTGCGCGCGCGTGTGATGTGGTGTGACGCTGACGCGGTGTAGCGTGGTGGTGGTGGGTGGGGTAGTGGGGTGGTGGTGGCGGTGCGCGGTGGTGGTGCGCGTGCGTGCGTGCGTGCGTTGGTGGGTGGAAGTGGCGGTGGGCGGGGCGGGGCGCGGTGCGGTGGTGGCGGGCGGATGGGCGCGCGAGAAAAAGGCCCGCGCTGGGGCGAGAACGCCATCCTGAACGACGGAGGCAAAACACCGATCCGAAAATGCGGCCCACGCTGCAGCGGGAGCAGGATTCGGAACGAGCGGAAGCCCGAAAATGAGGCCGGCGCCTCAGCGAAAGCAGCAGTTTGGAAAAAAACAGCGAAAACTCAACTCCGGGAAATCCTGTGTGTAAAAAACAATGCGCGGAGGGGTGCCCGCCATCTTCCGCACGCCATCAGGTGATGGAGGAGAGTGTATTCATATTGAGTAATTGTAGACAGGAGACAGAGGGGGGGGTGGGGAACAGAGATCGGGGGGGGAGAGGGGGGGGGGGACAGGAGAGAGGGGGGAGGGGGGGGGGGAGAGGAGGGGGGGGGAGGGAAAAGGAGAGAGGGGGGGGGGGGCAGGAGAGAGGAGGGGGACAGGAGAGAGGGGGGGGGACAGGAGAGTTGGGGGGGGGAGAGGGGGGGGGGGACAGAAGAGAGAAGAGAGAGAGAGAGGGGAGGGGGAACAGGAGAGGGGGGGGGGGAAGAGGGGGAGGAGTGGACAGGAGAGAGGGGAGGGGGGACAGGAAAGAGGGGGGAGAGGGGGAAATAAGAGAGGGGAAGGCAGGAGAGAGAGGGGGGGACAGGAGAGAGGGAGATAGGGAGGGGGAAAGGAGAGAGAGGGTGGGCGGAAGGACAGAAGAGAGGGGAAGGGACAGGAGAGAGGAGAGAGTGAGGGGGGGGGCCGGGATCATCACCATCTCCATCACCATCACCATCACCATCACCATCACCATCACCACCATGGACCATCACCATCGCCATCACCATCATCATCATCATCATCATCATCATCATCATCATCATCATCATCATCATCATCATCATCATCGTCATCATCGTGATCATCATCATCATCATCAGCATCAGCATCATCATCATCATCATCATCATCATCATCATCATCATCATCATCATCATCATCATCATCATCATCATCATCATCATCATCATCTGGAGCGTCCCGGATCGGCGGCACTGGCCGGAGGCCACTACAATATCGAACGAGAGCCCTTGTCGTCGTAGTTGGGCCTCCACCGACTTGCCTGAATTAGAGAATCTCTCGAGCGAGAGCGCCGTTCCTGAGTTCGGGGGCCTTCCTGGTCAGGTGATCTCGGAGTCAATTGTGAGGAAATGTCCACCAGGAGCCCTGGTCGTCGTGGCTGGGCCTCCGCCAACTTGACTGACTTGCGAGGAAATCTCGAGCGAAAGCGCCGTTCCTGAGTTCGGGGGCCTCTAGCCTCGTTTACAAAGGAATTGCAGCCAGCGTCGAGGCGAGTCCGCGCGGAACTGTTTCCAGAGATTAGCAAAACTTATTCTCTAGAAATGAATATTCAACAACAACATCAACAGCACTACCACCAAGAACAGCAACAGCAGAACAACAACACCAACAACAACACCAACAACACCATTAACAACAACAACACCAACAACACCAACACCAACACAAAAAAACAACGACGACCGCACCAACAACACTGACAACACCATCAACAACAACAACAAACAACACCAGCACCAACAACAACAACAACACCACCAACAACAACACCAACAACGACAACAACAACAGCAACAACATCGACAACGACGACGACAACAATAACAGCAACACCAACAACGTCATCAACAACAGCAATATCAATAACAGCAGCAACACCACAACCGCCAGCATCAACACCAACACCACCAACAACAACCACACCATTAACAGCAACATCAGCAACACCACCAACAACGACAACATCAACACCAGCAACAGCACCATCAACATCATCACCATGAACAGCAGACATTGCAACAACTACAACAACAACAGCAACATCATCAGGAACACCAGTATTGGCAACGACAGCAGCAGCAACGACAACAACATCACCACCAGCAACAACAGCAACAACAACAACAACGCCATGTGAAGGGCGAGGCCGGCAGAAAGCGTCAACAACAAACTCGTATGGCGAGGTAAGAACCCGATGCTAAAACATAATTGGGGAAACAGCGATGACAATCTCGGGGATGTGCCCTTGGAAACTGAGGGAATCCCTAAGACCAGCATCGAGATAAGGCGATGCCAAGCGCACGGATAGGGATATGTTCCAGGCTGGTAGGAAGGGAACTGAGACAGGGTGCCCCAGACTCATGCAGAGGAGTGTATCAGCAGCAAGAGTGTCCGACAAACGGACCACTGCTCCCAGCTTTGCCCTCGAACCCTCTGGGCATAATTGCTGGGCGCGCAGCCACTCGACCCTCCGGGCAAAAGCAAGCATACAGAGCTTCAGAACGCCCGAGATTTGAATCTGAGGTCCGCGCATGGGAAATTGAAAAAAGAAACGGCCGTGGCCAGATTCGAGGCCCTAATGGCCAGATGCGAGTGCCCATTAAACGACAATCCACAGCGCGAAAGACCCTGTCGCGATCACTGCAGACGTTCGTCGTGAACCACTCGCCCATTGCATCCACGCTTACCGTTCAATCAGCCCGGGGTAACCAATTGGGCCTCGAAATACTCGATGCCCACAAGAGCATGGTCTAGAAAAGAAATGCCCATGCGGGCACAGTGTAAAAAAAGGCACGGTCAAACTATGCGAATGACACGCCGTGCTGAAAGACCCCAGCTCAACTCTGACCTCCCCCTTTACCTGGCCCCGTTGTATTACATAACCTTGTTCACCACACTTACTTAAACAAAATCCGACTACGATGTGGGTGTCGCCTGTTCTCATTATGTGGCGCGCCCGCGAACTCATACACCTTTTGCTGCTTCACAACTGCGCTTGTGCAGAAGCCGGTAGGACCTCCCACTCTCGCATCTGTTGTACCGCAAGCATCGCGCATCAACTCAACCCCGCAGATGCTTTCCTCACGGTCGACGGCGGTGGCGCCAGCATGCGCGCCTGCCTGGTGATCCCTGGGTCGATGAGCGAGCCAGGCCTGGGCAGGCCGGCGGGAGGCTGCGCGCCCTACTCCTGCAGCGAAGCGGTCAGCCCCTGCGCGAGCATCGAACCCCCACGCCCGCGCCGCCTGGCGGCCAGGCCATCCGAGGACACGCTGGACACGTCAGACGCCGACGAGAGGGTGCCGCTGAAGTAGCCCGCTGCCTGCGTGGAACACTCGCTGCACCCGTCGTCGACGAGGTCGTCGTCCCACAGGTCCGCCCAGGCGGTCCTCTTGCCCGGCGGCTCCGTGGCTCTGGCGGAGCACTCGCCCATCGCCCCAGTCAGGCCGGCGAGGAGGGGGCTGGCCAGGATGGCGGCCGTCCTGAGCATCGTTTAACCGATTCCTATCCCCACTGGCGTGGCCCTGGCCCCAACGGCCGACTTGCCCACCTAGGTGGGGATATGTACCCTGTTCCTTCTGGTTTGGCGGACCCTATCCCCACTGGGAGAGTGGGGTGGAGGGGCTGATATACCATGGCCAACTGGTGATGGGGATAGATTAGACGATGCTGACGTCCCCTCGCTATCGTCGCTCGGCGCGCTGATGAGCCCCGGGAGCAGCACGCAAGGTCCCGCCGGCGCGACGGGCGCAGCCTCTTCCTGTGAGCGGGAGAGACAACATTACTAGGTTGGGAGGATGGAGTTGGGAAGATACGGGGCACGACTGTGTCATAAGCACACACGACATACGCGAGTATGCTGATGATCTGGTCATCCCTCTGAAACCCACCCTCCCGACCAGATAACAAACTGTCTTTGTGCATGAAGGGGAGAGCAGGGGGGTCCCCGACAGCGAGACCGCGCGTTCCTGGGCGGGAGCAGGCCATCGGGCCCCTATCGGCGTTCGATGGTCGATTCAGGGTCGATGCGTCCCGCCCTGAGCTGATTCCCCCTACGGTCAACCCGTATAGCAAGAACGCATGATGAGGATGCAAGGGCCTTGGCAAGCAATGTTGACGTTTTGCGAGCGGGGAGCGGCCAGCGAAAGCGTTCAGGAAAGGCCGAAGGGGCAAAGATGCAAGGGTAAATTTGGAAAGTTGGTCATCTGTACTTTGCAGGCTGACTGTAAACGTTTCCCATGAAGACTCTTCCTGGCGCGCCTCCGTGCCAAACATCGCGTCCAGCCCGGAGGATGACACGGCGCGCCCCCGCGACCCGCAGCGGGTGCGCAGGCGCCGGAGGCGCTGCACCTAAAAGAACAAGCTTGTTTGTTTCGTGTTGCCGGTTTTTTTTTATTATTATTATTCTTATTATGCCTCCTCCTCCTCCTCCTCCTCCTCCATCTCTTCCTCCTCCTCCTCCTCCTCCTCCTCCTCCTCCTCCTCCTCCTCCCCCCCTCCTCCTACACTCCTACATGTCCTTCTCCTGCTCCTCCTCTTCCTCCTCCTCCTCCTCCGTATCCGTATCCTCCTGCATGTTCTACATTTTATCCTCTTCCTCCTTCTCCTCGGCTTCTCTCGAAAACGCATCTGTGGTCCACTGTCCGCGCTCGCGCGCGCGCGGGCGGCCGCGGGCGGCCGCCGCTCCGCGCGAGCACGGGCCCCCCCGGACGCCACCGGGGGACCGTTGCTACGGGGGGGAGGCTACCATACCTTCCTACGATGCTGAGGCCATCGAAGAAAAAAGGACGTGGAGGCAACGCCCAGGCCGCCCAAGTCATGTCGGAGTACGACACGAACTTGAAGTAGACTGGATATCTTATGTTTTGCCATGTACTTGTGTACCTTTGTCCGTAGCGCTGTAGGTCGTAAGCTTCTCCAGCTTCAGGCAGGTCGGTCTCGCCGTAGCTATTGCGGCCGACGGAGTGCCGCGCGGTGGAGCTGGCACGCACCGTCGTCCAGCCAGCGGACGCTGGCGAACGTCTCGCCCACCTTGCTGACGGCGCAATCGTGCGACGTCTTGCCGAGCCTGCCCGATCGGCTTCCTAGTAGTTCAAGTCTTCCGCGGGCCTCGTAATTCAGCTGGCGGTCCTCGGATCCCTGCCTGTAGTCCTCGAGGCCCTGCTCGTGGCCCTGGTAGATCAGCGCGTGGTCCCAGTAGCTCGGCACGTGGTCCTCGTAGCTCTGCTGGTGGCTGTCCTTGCTCAGCAGGTGGTTCAAACCGTCGCCCTGGTAGCTCTGCGGGAGGCTTTCGTAGTTCTGCTGGTGGCACGCGCAGCTCAAGTTGTAGCCCTCGTAATGCCGCTGAAACCCTCGTACCTCAGCTGGTGAATTTCGGGCATCTGCTCGAGGCCCTTGTAGTTCAGTCTGTCGCCCCAGTCGCTCCGCAGGAGGCTCTGGTAGGTCTTTTTGTAGTCCGCGTAGCTTTGGTTGTGGCCCTCGTAACTAGTTCAGGGTGGCCCTCGTCGGTCTCGAAGCTGTGCCTGGAGCCCTCGTAGTTCAGCTCGCAGTCCTCGTAGCTCTGCCGGGGGCTCTCGTCCTGGTTTTCGTAGCTCCGCAGGTGGCCCGTGTAATTGAGCTGGTGGCTCTCGGAGTTCTGCTTCTGGGGCTTGAAGCTCGGCTCGTCGCCCTAGCAGTTCTGCAGTAGGCTCTTGTAGATCTTCCTGTAGCACGCGTAGCTCTGGTTGTGGCCCTGGTAACTCAGGAGGTCCTCGTAGCCGTCGTAGTTCAATCCTCGGAGCCCTGCCTGTGGTGTTCGTAGCCCTGCCTGTGGCCCTGGTAGCTCAGCGCATGGTCCTGGTAGCTCAGCACGTGGTCCTCGTAGCTCAGCTAGTAGCTGTCCTTGCTCAGCAGGTGGTCCTTGTAGTTCAAACCGTCGCCCTGGTAGCTCTGCGGGAGGCTTTTCTAATTCTGCCTGCTGTCCGCGTAACTCAAGTAATGGCCCTCGTAGCTTTGTCTGTTGCCCTTGTAAATCACCTGGTCGGCCTCGGAGCTCTGCTTCTGGTCCTTGCCGTTCAGCTCGTCGTTCGTGCTGCTATGTTTCTTCGTCGTCCTCCTCCTCCTCTTCCTCCTCCCCCTCCTCCTACAGATCCTCATCCCCTCCTCCTCCTCCTCCTCCTCCTCCTCCTCCTCCTCCTCCTCCTACATATCCTCTTCCTTCTCCGCCTCCTCCTCTTCCTTCTCATCCTCATGGGGAAACCAAGAGGTACCGATACCGCTTCTGCCTGGACCTGTCCCGGGGTGCTGTTTCAGCATCATTTCGAAGCGAATCCAGCCGTGCCGACGAGGGCCTCTTTGGAGGCCCAGAGGGGCGAAAAAACGAAAGAAGGGTAGCGGTGTCGGTACCTTTTCCTCCTCTGAGCGCCTTCTTGGTCGGCAACGGGAAGCTCGCCCGCACGCCGCCCTCCAGCACGATTGGCTTGCACTCGTCCTTGACATCAGTCAGTCTGTTTTTGTTCGTTCCGCGGCCCCGGCATCGGAGCTAGTTTCTCGCCCCGGATCCGTTTTTGAGTGTCCCAGGGCCCGATAACGGACCCCTGAGGCCGAAATCGAAGGAACAACTAATGGATTTTTAAAATGCATATCGTGGATATCTAGGGTCCGGCATGCCCTCGTGCATAACCGGGCTGTTGCGGTAGCGCTCGACGTGCAGTTCCAGGCCCTGGCGGGGTGACGGGGTCTATACCTATCCACTGCCCAGGCCTGGCCCATCCTGGACCCAGGAGCGGTGTATGTGCCCTCTTGGCTTGGCCAGGGAGTTATGCACGCCGCCTCTGGGCCCAGGATGGTCCAGGGAGGCCTGGGGCAGTGGATATGTGTAGATCTCGTCGCCCGACCTGGGTCAGGCTCCAGCCCACAACGGCGTGTCCCTGGCCGTGCTCACCCCAGCCGGCGCCCCCGAGCTCGGCGAAGATGCGCTGGGCCTGCTCCGGGCTCGTGAGGTTTACGAACCTCAGCCGCCCTGATACGCAAAACGCTACCTGGAGGGCGCTGGCACTCAGAGGATGAAACATACCGATACGGCTGTCCGTCCTGGCGAGTTCTCGTCGTCACGACTGGATTCCCTCGACATTCTATTCAGAATGCCCCCCAGGAGAGTTCCAGGGAGAGGTAGTATCAGTATCTTTGTCCTGGCACGTACCACCCACACACCCTCGCGTCGTGAGCACAAGCACGACGGAAAGTGTCACTCTGTTTTTGGCTTCCGCAGGCCCTTACTGGGCCTCGTGACAATCAAAGAAGCCGGTCCCTGGGAAGGGACCGAGACCTCTGGAGGTCCACGTCATGAGCAAATCATGAATTCGCGGGTCTGAGTATGCAACCCTGCTTGTGCTGGCACTGCGCTCAAGACGAAGATTGATAACGTAGGGCTGGCGCGATATGATCCCTAAACTCCGGTCGTGGCATTTCTGTTCTCTAGGCGCTTTCGACCGTGGGACGCAGAAGGACATACTGACACTATGCGTCCCACTTGGAAGCGCACGTCCGAACCGAACACGCATTACAAATGTGCGTCGTCACCCAGGCTGCATAGACAGAGAGCGGCCTGCAGCGAGCATAGATCATAAGATGTCAGAGCGCGCGCGTCGCCCTGTGCGCGGCCGACGCGCACCTCGTACAAGCATACCCCGGCGGCATCGAAGAGGCTCCGGTCACGATTTCTCGTGATGCTGCGGGCTCTACGCAACGTCGGATCCCTGGGTCGGACAGCCTCTGGCGGCGCAAGCCACGCAGCTGAGGTCGAGACGGAGCTTAAGACGTGAGTTGGAAGCGTAGGCCTGGCGCGATACGGTCGCCAAGGAAGGTGGCCCAATACCTGCCGAGCCAACCACGCGGCGTGCTTGACCTAGGCGTCTTGAGCACGGCGCGGGTTGTCGGGGGTGGACAAAACCCCCGTTGGCATAAAGCCCTTTGGTGAAAGATACCCAGGGCACTCCACGTGCCTACGGCACCGCATTCCGAGTGGACCCGGGCGGACGACGTCAAAAAGCTACCGAGTGTACCAGGCAAACCACACGTCGGCTGGCGAAACCGACGGGGGACTGCAACGGCACACTCGAATGCCAATGTCGAGTGAACCTGTGCAGATTTCCTCAGTCGATTTGTCTGGGGGGGCGCTCTGTCAATGTCCGGTTGCATCACGCGCATATCAGGGCAGCTAGGCTGCGAACGCGTAGCCAAAGTTCTGGCGCTTCGCAAAGTCGATCGGCAGGGCCTCTGGCCCCCCCCCCTGCGGAGGCCATCAGGCTGCGGCTGAGCGGCGTGGCTCTTGCCAGTGCAAATCGGTTGTTGGCAACATGGAACACTGAAGTGTCCAAGGGACTGGGCCATTTGGCAAGCACGAGTGTTCCCCCGAACAGTGCTTGCACCAAGAGGTTCGCACTCAGGCTCCAGGGAACTGACCCTGCCTGCTGTACTGCTTCGATGGCTGCGTCGCTCTCCGCGACTTGGCTTCCTATGGATCCCTATGGTTGAGAGGACGACTTCTGTGTACGCTGCGCTGATGCAAATTCCCATCCCCTGGAACTGGGGCCCCACCCCCATCCTCCCCTCCCGTTCCCTCCTCTCCACCACGTGGACCCCCCTGCGCTGCGAAAGTGGAGCCGCGAGACGCATAAGAGGTGTGCCGAAATCGACGGGGGGGGAGTGCACATACGAAACCCTGTCACGGAGGCCTTCGGTGGAGCTCCCTGCAGTGCTACGACACGCGCGAGGGGTGTGCCGAAATGGGCGGGAGGACCGCACGCGCCACCTTCCAACAGAGGCCTTCGGAGGACTGTGGGGCCACGAAACGAGCGAAGTGTGTTCCGAGGGCTTGCCATTGAGGCATTCGGTGAAGCGCCTTGTGGGCCCACGAAGCGCGTGGTGTGGGGAGGGGGGGGGGGGGCGACATGGGCGGGGGGACCGCGTGAGGCATCCGGTGGAACTCCCCGTGGGGCCACGAAGCGTGTCGTGTGAGGGGGGGTGTCGAAGTGGGTGGGGGGGACCGCATGCAGCACCATGCTCTCAGGGCTTCGGTGGAGCTCCCTGTGGGGAAACGAAACGTGTGGGGGGTATGCCAACATGGGCATGCGGAGGGCACAGGGAGGAGGGGGAGGAGGGGGAGGAGGATGAGACGGAGGAGGAGGAGGAGGAGGAGGAGGCGCGCGCTGCTGGTTCAAAGGGAGAACCCAACTCAACACAGGTGGGATGGGAACTAAATACTGTACGGATCCGAGCTCCTGGTGCCACGATCCCGTACAAGCTATGCACCCGCGTCCCCGAAGCCAGACCCCAGAGCGATGGGTATGCGCTCCCAAGGCCGCGATCCTGTTCAAAGGCGATTGGTCCACGCTCCCGATGCCTAGCCCCTCCCCCCGATAAAAAGTAGTGGTCTGCGCTCCCGAAACCACGCTCCATGGAAGCGCGCTCCCAAGGCAACGATCCATCGCAACACGCGATGGGTCTGGGCTACCATGGCCGCGTCCGCAGTAAGGCAGAACTCGTCTGGCGAGAGGCCCACCCCTGTGCAGCTGCGTGCGTCGCGCAGGGAGATGCCCTCTCCTCATGTACGACGCGCCGCAACATGTGCGGCCGGACCTAGGACAAAACAAAACCCCTCAAGAGCATTGGACCTCCCGCTAGCCAACCTGAAGAACATTCGAGGGCACCCCCCCAGGATGCCCGAGAACATCCAGCACCCAGCGACACCTAACGCATGCTGGTCGCTTAGCATCTTTTGAACCACCTACGGGACCGTAAGTGGACCCCCGCGGGACCTCACGAGGACGCCCGCGGAGACCTCACCTCGTCAAGGGAGCCTCCCTGTTTACGAGGACACGATCCTCGTGAGCGGTGGCCCAGAAGGACACCCTCGGTCCCCGACGGCGGCACCCACAGAAATCCCCGGCGGGCGAGGTGCCAGGACCGGGGAGCGAGGGTCAGCTTTCGGAGGCCCTCGAGGCTGGCTCTCGAGCGTGGGGCGCTCCCCTGAAAATCCCACCCCCAGTCGCGCCACCCCTCCTGCAAGTCTGCCTCTCCGTCGTGGTGGTCGGGGGTGGGTGTTGTTTTTTCGGTCACGAGTGAGGGGGGCAGGAGGGGAGGGAGACAGGAGGTGGGGTGAGACGCGCTGCGCCGCGGACTCAAAACGAGGACCCAGCAACACAGGAGGATTGAGAACCACTGTCGATGAGCGATATCGAGGTCACGGTCGTTTATAAGGTGTTGTTGAATTGCGCTCCCGATGCAACCTCCCCAAAGAATGCCACCAGCCCTCTGGGCGGGGGTGGTTTAAGGCGTTCCCTATTCCATCCTCCCTCCTTCTCCCCTTTCGGGGAAGGGTTTGCCCCTCTCCCTGCCCGTCCCGACGGGCCTGGACGAGGGGGCTGCGAGAGGTTAGAGGGCCCATGATCATGATAGCCTCAGCGAGAAGACCACGATCATCGATATGACGATGTTTTTGCCAGAGCTGTTGCCTCCTGGCAGGACGGGGCTAATCGGCGTCTCCCATTCCTTGATCACCGGCCTCCAGGACAGCCCCAAGACGGACCGAAACGCATACAAGAGAGCCCCAATGAGGGCGCCAAGAGGCACCCAGGAGGCCTTAAGAGGCCCCCAAGTGGACCCCAAGAGGCCCCCAAGAGGCCCCCAAGAGGCCCGCAAGCGAACCGCAAACGAACCCCAAGCGGACCCTAGAGCCCGCAAGCTGCCTCAAGACGCCCCAAGAGACCTCTAAGAGGTCCCCCAAGACATCTCCCAAGAGGCCCAACGGGGGCATCTAGGGGGCCTCTGGCCCTCACAGGCTCCCCGAGATCTCCAGCTAGTGCCACGCTCCCCCGTCCAGGGCAGTTCCGCTGGAGATCATACCTGGATGGGGTGGTCTGGATACGCGAAGCGTGAAAAGCTGGACAGGCGAAGGACCCAACCCTGTGTAGCTGCAAGTAGCGCACTATATGGTCCGCTCCTCATAGGTCACGCGCCGCGAGAGTGGTGGACCCTGGGCCATGCGGAAGGGGGCCACGAAGCGTGTGGCGGGTGTGCCGAAATCAGGCGGTGCCGCCGTGCGGACCCTGCCATTGGAGCCTTCGGTGGAGTTCCCTGTGGGGGGCCAGTGCGGTCGTGCCCGACGGCACAGTAGGTGGAGCTCCCTGTTGGGGGCACACAACAGGGTGCGGAGCGCGCCGAATCGGGGTCGGGTGCGTCGTGCGGTCGCTCCCGCCGACACCGCACGTGGAGCTCTGTGTGTGCGAGGGGTGTGCCGAATTGGGGATGGGCACGGCATCAGTCGGGAGGGAAAAGCGCACAGACACAGAGACCGACACGGACACAGGCACAGACACAGACGCAGACCCAATTCGCACAGGATGGTTGAGGAGCCAACGATGATTACGCACCCCCGAACTCCGAATGCCACGATGCCTCTCACCAAAAATGATGCGCGCTCGGACAATCGCGCACCCTCGCAAAACAGAATGGACCCGCGCTCGCGCAGCAACGACCCTTGCAGAAAACAATGTTTATTCGCGAGCGCAACCACGATCCTCCAGGCAAATTCGTCCCTGGCCCCATCTATTCCTTTGGCTTCTCTGCGAGGCGGGGATTTATCCACATCAACCGCCTGGGGAACTGATGCCCTGGGACCACAGGGGGCTGTGGACGTGAACATGGGCTGGCCTCGGGGGCCCGAGAGTGTCCACATCCACCGACTGCTGAAGCCCAGGAAGATGATCGATTCCCCCCAGGTGGTGCTTACGGCCACCGTGCTGCCATAAGGGAAGCTGCGTAAGGAACGAAGGGGCTTTTCTGGCCACAGCGAACCTCGGCCACGAAGAAATTCCCTGACTGACCTAGATCCCAGAAACGGCCAGAGAACCAGAGCCCCTCCTGAGCCCAAAGGTGACATTACTTTTGCGTCTGAGCTGTTGGACAGATCCCCGCCTCGGACCCTTTCCCTTCTCGGCGAGGATGCCGGCTGGCTCGCCGCCCAGCCAATCAGACAGACAACCTGCCAGCCCGCGAGACACACAAGTAGCCAACCGGTCGAGTCGCCCACCTGTCAACCGATGGGCCAGCCCATACGTCCGATGCCTGGGTTTTTTCGACACGGGGTCGACTGAAGTCACGACCCTTTCCCCAGGGCCGGCTTTTCGTACTTTTTGAGGGCCCCAGGGCCTGGCGAGGGCCCCGAAGGCCGAAAACTGCCAAAAACCTCCCGTCGAGCATGTTTCACGACGCGGGCATGTCTGGGTCTACTCCTCCCCCGTCCTCCTGCCGCACCTGACATTCGATGTTGCAAAGCAATTGCAACATCGTGAAAAATCGCGACCTGAGCCTTGGACCCCATCTTTCTGCTGGATCTTTCGAGCCAGATCGATCTGTGCTGGTCCTGGGGCCCGAAACCTGGCGAAGACACCCGGCGTGAAACGATTGCATCGCCCAGACCTCGGGGCGCTCTCCTCCCCTCCTCGGCGACTTTCAGGGGCCACGGGAAGGCCAAACCCGAGCGCGCAAGCCAAGCCGCTGCTCCGCTGCTATGGCCTCGCACGCAGCCATCTGGGGGCCCCAGTCTGCCCGCACCAAAAATCACTCTGGCGAAAGGTCACCTGTACCGGCAGCCAACCTCCCCTCCCCTCCGGCGTGGTTCTTTCACGACGCGAGCACACCTGGGAGCCAACCTGCATCAGGGATCTACTGACCGGGGTCAAGGTATACCCAGGTCAGTCAGGATCTTGCCAGATCCTACGCGCAAGCCTGGGCCAACACACTCCTGGCTGCGCAGGATCCTGCAAGATCCAGCGCTCTGGCTGACCCCCCTTGCATAATACCACGTCTGCGGGGCTGGGTTCCACGCTCGGCGCGTGTCTGCTGAGGTGCATCCGACGTCAGAAACCGCGGCGCAGATGGATACCCTGCGCCAGATTTACCAGGCTGTATCTAGCTGACTGCCGCCCAAGCCCCGTGCGGGTGGCGTGTCTGCCGAGTGAATTCGAAGACCACCCTCGACCACCCCCGTCTCAAGGCTCCCGCCAGCCAGCCACACCGACCAGCCCAGGCCGTGTGGGTCCTCGAGCCAGCCGAGGAGGGCGACAGGCGGCACCTGCTGGGCGCAGCCCCTCGGATAGAGGAAGTCGTACCTGCCCGCGAAGCCAAGCGCGTCGAGGTACTGCACGAGCTGGTCGCGCGTGAGGTGGGGGGGGATGCTCCTGTGTCGCAGCGCCATTTGTTCTCGACGTGCCCGAGTGTACGACGCCGACACCACGGCAAACACACGGCAGACTCTGCGGCCCGCGCCCAAGGAGACGACGCTGGCACCGCGGCAAACCTACGGCAAGGCCTGCGTCCGAGGTGGAGTTTGCCCTGGTGCCCGCGGCGCCCTCCCCGAGACGGAAGGCCGTGCGTCGGAACAAACGGCGCGGCGACCTGCGGGGGGACCCCTAGACGGTGCGTGTTAACTGTCCGTGCGGCCCGCAGATCCGGGCGTGACAGTCTTGGTCGCGCCGGGCGTTTTTGCCCGGTTTCGGGCCCTGGGGCCATCACGGATCGATCCAGCTGGAACGAGGCGGCAGAAAGAGAAGGTCTAAGACTCGAGTCGCGATTGTTCTCGATGCCACAATTGTTTCGCAACCTCACATCTCAAAGGGTGACCTCGAAATCCCGAGAGATCTCACCGCACGGTTTTTGGGAACCCTGGAGGCCCCAGCCGCCCAAGACATCCTCGGAGAACGACCCAAGTGCCAAAAACTTGCGGTCACCCCGATGGCCATACCAGACCAGCTGCCGTAACATACTCCTCGGGAGACCTAAGGCGATGCATTCGATACCATTCGATACTTGAAGATGGCACTGCGATGGGTGACCGGGCGCTGTGAAATTCGAGAGACGGCTGAAGCTGGGCGCTACCTCTCGGAGTGGCACACGATCCAACCAGAGAAAGCAGCCCCCTCCTCCCTCAGCGATCCTGCCTCGGCGTCGGCCGAATCGCTGAGCGTAGGATAACAAACACGTTGTAGGCAGTTTGCGGGGTGCGTTCTGGCGAGACTCTCCAGGCGAAGCCAGCCGTAGCACACGAGGGCCTCCCAGGATGCCCAAAAAGGTCAAAGGAGGGAAGGGCATGGGTATCGGCACCTTTTGCATCCCTGATTTCCCAGACATGCGACGTCCTCACTTTTTCAGTGTACGAAGTCTCCGAAGTCCCGACCCTTTCATCCTGAGTCGTTCTTCGACGGTCCGGGAGCCTGGCGAGGGCCCCCGGAGGCTCAAAACCTACCGCTTGTCAGGATGCGAGCATGTCTGGGTTTGGGAGCCCCGCTCCTGATCGCCACCGTCGTCTTCGGCTCCTGGCCCGCCGGGCCCCTCGCGACCTTTGAGCAGGGACCAACCGAACCGGCACTCCTCTAGGCCGACATGTTCTGAGAACCAAAGCATGTTCGAATAATCAAAACAATGTTCTTATGACAGAATGCCGATGCGTTATAACAACGCGGCCTCAGCCAGAAATGTTCTGAGAAGATTCTTTGGTTGGCCTATAGGGAAGCCAAGACGCTTCGCCACTGCTTGAGACCTGGCCCTGCTCGGGCACGCCGGTGGAATGATCGGGGCGCTCGGGCTCGCCCTCCCGCGCCTCCTTGGCGGCGGGCTGACCGAACACCGCTTTTCACGTGCCCCATCCTCACTGGCGTGGCCTTGGCCTCACTAATCACTTTCGGCACATTCGGAAAAGGATGGATCGAGAATCTCTGAGATCAGGCGGTTCTGAAGGATGGGTCGCCGCACCGTTTGTTCTCGACGGGCCCAAATGGACGACGCCGACACCACGGCAAACCCACGGCAAGCCCTGCGCCCGAGGCGGCGTTTGCCCTGGTGGCAGGGGCGCCCTCCCCAAAATGTAAGGCCGCGCGTCGGGGCACACGGCGCGGCGACAGACTGTCTGAGACCCGGCGGTTCTGCGGCAGAGCGTTCCGAAACGCTCTGGAACGCATTTATCCTCGTCGTAGCCCCGTCGGAGTTGACCCTTCATTCTTTCTCCTTCGGCGCAAAACGTTGGAGAGAAGGATGGAGGCAAAGGAGGGACACAACCTCGCATCAGCTCAAGGCAAAGTCACAACTGGGCGCCCGGGCAGCCCAACGGAGGCGCAAGCGATTATGCAGGCTTGAGAAGCGACGCCTCCAATGCCAGACTGCAAACTCAGAGGTGCCCGAATCCATCTGAACCCGAGCAGCCTCGGAAGTTAGAGGAGGAGAAGGAGGAAGGCCCCGACGAGGAGGACGGAGACAGAAAAACATAACGATTTGACCCCCCCCTAGAGGGGGATACATTGATGCTGCCTTCGGGTTTCGTGGGGCCTATCCCTACTTCTGGGGGTGGGCTGGTGGAGCTGAAAGATACCATGGCTAAGTGTGGATCGGAGGTGAGGGGGTGAGATCGAAGTGGAACGGAGAGCCCCCCTACCGGGAAATCGATTTCGGTTTCGTGTTCGTGCGTGCCGTGCGGGCGAGGCGAAGCTGCGTGGGCGGGCGAGAGAAAATCTCCTGTGGCTGAGGCGCGGCCGGACCAAATGATTCTCCACCGGGCGGCCGGTGGCGCGCGGTGTCCCGCCAGTGTCCCGCCGGTGTCCCGCCGGTGTCCCGTCGGTGTCCCTGTGGCTGAGGCGCGGCTGGACCAAATGTGTCTCTTCCGGGCGGCCGGTGGCGCGCGGTGTCCCGCCGGTGTCCCGTCGGTGTCCCGTCGGTGTCCCGATAGTGATGGTCCCCGATGATCATGATGATGATGATGATGATGATGATGATGATGTTGATGATGGCGATGATGATGATGATGATGATGATGATGATGATGATGATGATGATGATGATGATGTTGATGTTGATGTTGATGATGATGATGATGATGATGATGATGATGATGATGATGATGATGATGAAGTCGATTGTGAGATCGATTGTGAGATCGATAGTGAGATCGACAGTGAGACCGAATGTGAGACCGAATGTGAGATCGATTGTGAGATTGATTGTGAGATCGATAGTGAGATCGATAGCGAGATCGATAGTGATATCTATAGTGAGATCGAATGTGAGATCGATTGTGAGATCGATATGTTGACAATGGCGATGATGATGATGATGATGTTGATGTTGATGATGATGATGATGATGATGATGATGATGATGATGATGATGATGATGATGATGACGTCGATTGTGAGATCGATTGTGAGATCGATTGTGAGATCGACAGTGAGACCGAATGTGAGACCGATTGTGAGATCGATTGTGAGATCGAGTGTGAGATCGATAGTGAGATCGATAGCGAGATCGATAGTGATATCGATAGTGAGATCGAATGTGAGATCGATTGTGAGATCGATAGCGAGATCGATTCAGTGAGACGTTGGTTCCCCCTCCCCCCTCACCTCCTTATCACCCGCAGGGTGGTCGTATAGGTAGGTATCGGCGAAACGATGCTGACAGACGGGGGTGTGGGGCGAGGGGGGGGCGCTCTACGAAGGCACGGGGGTCTCCTCAGAGGCCCCCCCACTCATCTGAGGAATTTTCTGCGGAAGACGAGACAGCAGCTGCACAGGCATAGACTTCCGGACGCCCGCGCGAATTCCTTGGGCTGGCGATGGGCCACCCTCTCTGGCGCGCGAAGAGCGCCTGGAGCGGTGACGGAGGCGCCGCCATGGCGGCCCAGCGCCGACTCATGAAATCCGCACGAGCCTTCGAACATTTAGCCACGGGTCGGAAGAAGTGGGTAGACAAATGAAGCAGGAAAGAGTGGGAAGTAGATTGGATCTCTGCCCGCCCCTTGGAGAAGAGGGAAGAGGGAAGAGCGTTCGGCTCTCGAAGTAGGAAGGCGCCGAAGCCAGATTGGGATCTGGGAGTCCAAGAACATGGGCTTTCCACGACCGATGGGGTGACAATTTCTGCTTATGGCTTATGCCGCTCGCTCTCCTTCGGCTCTGAGTGTGCGGCCCCGCTCGACCCGCATCCCTCGGGGCGGACGAGAGGGGGAGCGTGAAAGGAGGGCTTCACGAATCAGCTCACGCAACTGATGCCGATACCGCGACTCCTCGGACCTCTCCTGGTGTGCGTCCCGACCAAAACCTCAAGGCGAACCCAGCCGTGGCACACGAGGGCCTCTAAAGAGGCCCGCGCAGGGCCCAGACGAAAAAGGGCAGCGGTTTCGATGCAGCTTCCTCCTCTGCGCCCCCTCGTCCGACCCAGCGCCCCAAGGGGGTACCGGTACCGCCGGTCCTGGGCGTCCTGAGGCATCTCGTCCCCCCTGATCGGCAGGGCTGGCACGGAGAGCGCCCGCCTCGCAACCGCCCCCATCTGCCAGACGCCAGACTCCTCGACCACCTCGATGAAGGTACGTTGGACGACGATGCGCACCCCTGTGCCTGGCAGCTGCAGGCTCGCTGGTGCTTCCGTGCTCGCGGGCATTGGCAAAGGATGGCCCGCGAGGGCGCAAGAAGCCAGGGGCAGAGGGTGCCGCGGACAAGAGTCCGGGTTAAACGATCCCTTGGGCCAAAAATGGCTGCAGCGCGGCAGGATCGCAGAGATACGCGGTGAAGGTGCAGGGGCCTTGGGCGCCTGAGATGAAGCCTTCGAGCGAAGACGGCCAGCGGTAGTGGCTAAGGATGGGCCGAAGACGCAAGAATGAAAGGTTGCCGTCGGAAAGTTACTCATGATTTTGATCCTGTTTGACTGTGCGGCGCCCGCAAAAAGGCCCGCGAGAGGCCCAACAGGCACCCACGAGGCCCGCAAAGGCCCCAATGACCGCCATGAGGCCCCCAAAGACGCTTCAAGAGGCCTCGGAGAGGCCCCCAAGAGACATCCCGAGAGACTCCGAGATGCATCCAAGAGGCCTCTGGCCTGCAGAGGCGCCCCAAGCTGTCCACATGATGGCACGCTCCCCCGATAGGAGCAGCTCCCCACGGCAACGTCCCTGGATGTGCTGGTAGGGATACTTTTTGGTTATCGGGCTCGCGAAGCAAGTCGAAGGCCGAGCGCGATACGGCGGGCCGCGCCGGTAGCGAAAGGGAAAAGCAGTGAAGGCACGCACGCCGCGGCACCGACCAGGCGAGCAGGCAGAGGAGCGTGCCGAAGACGAGGACCACGTAGGTGCGGCCAGCGTGGCGACCGGGAAATACAGGAGATACACGAAGAGGACGCAGGAGACGAGAGCGGAACGGCGGCGGACAGGCCCACCGCGTACCGGAGGTAGACGCAGCCAAAATTGCGCGAGAAGGCGGCCAGGTGGCAGAAGAGGTACACCGTGAAGACGAACCCCGTAGCCGAGACCGAGCGCCCACAGCCAACCGTGCCGTACAGGTAGAACTTCAGATAGTCGTAAACCGACAACGAGAGCCCTTGAGCGCGAACCAGAAGAGCATGTCGGCACGAGCGGAACGCGCAAGGGATGACGCACACAGGTGAGAGCCCGGCGAGTACCCGAACCCAAGGGGAACCTTGTCGCACAGGTAGGATTTCAAAAGGCAGTAGGTTGACACCTTGCGATTCACGTGCGTGGGCCCGAGGCAAAAAGGGGAAAATACCGTGCGAGCGAAGACGACCCAGGTGAGAGCCCAGCGAGTACCCGGAGCCAGAGACCTGGTCGAACAGGTAGGACTTCAAGAGGCCGGCGGCTGACACCTTGCGCTTCACGTGCACGAACCCGAAGGCAAGGGGGAGCGGCACGAGAAACCGTGCAAGTGAGCGCCGCCCGACAGTTGGCCGAAGGGTGGAGCGGCGGGAGGCCATGCGAGGCCGGTGCCCGCAAGTACCTGCCAGGGGCCGCGTTGCCTTGGGCGCAGCCGACCGCTGGCAGGGGTGGGGCCAGCGCGTCCAAACAATCAGCATGAACCCTTGCGGCCATCACGCGGCGGGCGGACGGGAGCGAAACCCCAGGAAAGCTGGTGCCATACCAGCGGGACCAATCCGAACGAGGTTCATGGGAGCAGCTGATCGCTGCAAGCACTCGACGGGCCTCGGCAGAGGAATACTCGTGGCAAGCAGCTGATCGCTGCAAGCACCCGACAAACCTCGACAGAGGAAAACCCGTGGTAAGCAGCTGATCGCTGCAAGCACTCGTAGACTCTTCGACAAGGAAAGCAAGGTTGCACGGAAAGCGTCGACAAAGAGGATGGTCTCGACAGAGAGGATACCCGTGGTAGCGTGAACGTGGAGGGCGCCAGGGAGGGGGGGAGAGAGGCTGCCGATCGCTGCAAGCAAAAGAGTGGACGCCGCTCGAGGCGGGGGTGGGATGGAAGCTGCGCGGGGGAAGGTGCAACGTGGTTACCACCGTTGTCGCTTGTCCATAATGGGTTCGTCCCAGCCGTGGCTGCTTTTGCCCTGTTTGCCAATGCGCATTACGGAGGCGTCGCGGTCAAGCCCTTTGTCCGGGCGCAAGGCCTTGCCCCGATCGCCCGCTGCGGGGCCCTTGCGCAGGGCGTCGAAGTCGGTCTGTAGTCTGTGCTGCTGGTCGAGAGAGAGCGGGCGTCGTAGCCGTTCTGTCGCCAGGCAGCCAGGAAGTCGCCGCAGGCGACCTGGGATTGCAGGCGTGGGTCCATCGGGACAACCGGGGCCGACTTGCTTTGAAAAAGACCCTGCTGAATGTGGATCCGAGTTCGGAATGCATCCTCTTGATGAAGTCGGAGTTGCTCTCAGTCGCACCCTGTGCTTCATCAAGGTGTGTGGGCGTCTTGTGCATCTGGTCGTCGTTGCGAGTGCGGCAGTCGGTTAGCGCGAGGGCGTTGGCGGCAACGTCGCGCCAGGCTCCCACGGCCCGTGCCCACATGCCAGCGGCTTCGCTGCTTGGGGTCGTGTGTGCGGCATGGCCCTGTCCCTGGGCCCCGTAATCCCACGTCCTATAGCTTGCCCAGCTTGAGCCGTATGCACGTCCGTCGTCGTTCCAGTTGGACCGGTTGGACCGCCTGCTGCTGCTGGGACTCTGCGCGCGGTCGTGGTATCGCTCGGCGTTTTCGTAGGGGCTCCATCCTTGGTCGCGCCCCTTCCCGTGTCCTTCTGTGCGAGTCCATGGTCTCCTGTGCTGGGAAACTGCTGCCATCTGTTTCGCCCATGAGTCGGGGAGTGCCAGCGGCTTGCGTGTGTCAGCCGTGTCGCGATCTTGTCGCTCGTCCAATGACCCACTTCGGTCCAGGGGGGCGGCGTTGTCACTACTGGCCAGCGCGGCTTCGCAGAGTGTCACGGTGCGGGTTGGGGACTTGGAGCTGGCCTCCTCGTGGGTAGGCGAGGGGACAGGATCTTCGTCCGCTTGGAGCTCCGGGCTCGTCTGTGGTGCCTCTGGTCCAGGCCCCCACCCCAGTCAGGGTCTGGGTTTGGAGCCTGGCCAGACGCTGCGTCTTCCCCTGGGGGTTAGGAGGGTGGGAGCCCCCCTGGGTCGCCAGTCGCTGTGCCCGTGGTCTCCTCTTCTTCTGCTCCGGCCTGTGCGCTGGGTGCTGGGTCCGCAGCCATTTTGGCTCACGTAAACCATCTGTCAAGCCAGCTGGGCAGGAGCAGCCCCCGGCCTGGCACCTGGGCCCGCGCGTAGGGTAATCCGCGCGCGCGGCCAGCGCCGGATGCCGGGCGAACGTGGCGGCGGGCGCTCGCAGGCTGCGGATCCAGTAGTGCTCCCAGGACTTCGGGAGCCATGCTGGGGCTGCCCATGTGGGCACGCGGGCAATTGGGCTTGCCGCGTGCGTTGCCAGCGCTGTGGCAAGCCTGCGTTGCAGCCTGTCGCCGATGCCGCCCGGGCGGCAGCCGAGAAGCGCCAGCCGCGCCAGGCAGTGCCCGCGCCGGACGCGCCTGGGCAACAGCGCCAGCGGCGTGCTGGTGGTGGACAGGCGCCTGGCCTGGTCTCCTACGCGGCCGCGGTGCAGCGCCTGCTGCCGCCCTCGGTGCCGGCGGAGCCAGGCTCAGTGGGAGCTCCGCTACTGGCGCGAGCGCCGCACGGCTGCGCTGCGTTACACGGCGGAGGCGGACGTGGCGGGTTCCGACCGGCGGATCCGCGCTTTGGAGCTTCATGGCTGCCCAGGCATCCCGGCCTTGGGTGGTCCGGGTCCAGGCCGCCGCAGACGCGCAGAAGGCAGCGGCGGCCAAGCTCCAGGCGACCACCGACAACCTGGCGGAGGCGCGCTGGGCTGTCGTGCACTTCGAGGCCGACCGAGGCGGCGAAAGCGCACGAGGCGCTGCGTCTGGCCGATGCGGCGCGCTGGCGGCGCAGCAGGAGGCGGCTCCTGCGCGAGCACCGCCGCCGGCGGAGCTCACCGAGGCGGGGGTCGACGCGGCCTTCGCCGCCCTCGCTGCGGCCGCGTCGGTGCTTCAGCACCGCGGAGGTGGCTCAGGAGGCGGCGGCGGCGGCGGCGAGGCCGCGGTGCTCGTCGAGCAGCTGCGCGCGCTGGTCGCCGCTGCGGTGCGTGGGTCCGCTGCGGAGGCCCCTGCCGCAGGTGCGGCGGCGGCCGCGGCAGGTCCCGCCGCCTCTGTGCGCGCCGTTGCCCCCGCCGTCACCGGGGCCGCACCTCCTGCACTCCTGCAGCCCTGGGTGTTCCGCCGCTTGCAGATGCCGTCGACGCCGCCGCGCCTCGGAGCGGTCGCTGCGGCAGAGGCTGCCGCAGCTCCCGGCGGCTTGCCGCCAGGCAGGCGCCGCGGGGGGCCGCGCCGCGCCCAGCTCGTGGCGCGAGGTGGCAGCCGCCCACCGCGCGGCGGAGGCCCAGCGGCAGGCCAAGGGCCGCCCGCGGGCCTCTTCCACGCCGCCGGGCAGCCCGGGCAGGCGGGGGCGCTCGCGGAGCCTCGAGCGGGGCGCGGCCAGCGCCTGAGCGCGGCCACCAGCCCAGCGCTGGAACTCCGCCCGGCGGCCCCATGGGGGCGGTTGCCAGAGGCCTCGCCCGGCAACCTCGCGCGAGGCGTGCCCCACGGCGGCGGCAGCTGGGGAGATGGAAAGGTGAAGGCTAAAACAAAAATTAAAACAATAAAAGAACAATAAAAAAGAAGAAGAAAGAAAGAGAAAAAGGGAAATAAAAGAAAAAACAAAAAAAAAAAAAGAGTAAGGAAAAAAAAAAAAGGAAATAAAGGAAAAAAAAGAAAAAAGGAAAAAAGAGAAAAGAGAAATTAAAGAGATGAAATAAGAGAAAAGGAGAATGGAAAAAAAAAGAGACAACAAACAAAAAAAAAAAAAATGAAGGCAAAAAACAATAAAATTGGAAAAAAAAAAGGAAAAAAACAAAAAAAAAAGGGAGCGAAAAAAAAGGAAAAAAATAAAAAGAACCCTGGGCCGTCTTCCCACCTGGGCGTGGCTGGCGCCGCAGCGGCCGCCGGGCCTCTCGAAGCGGCGGCGCCCGCTCGAAGATGGGCCCCCGCCCGTCTTCCCACCCCGGCGCGGCTGGCAGCGCCCGTGCCCGCTTGGCCATCGGCGGCGGTAGTTCCTGGGCAGGT